AATCTACAGTGGCATATTTATTACTGAAACTCTGACCAAGCTTACCACACACTGATTTGCCAAGGAAGTAGGAAAATCTCCTCAGGATATGTGATTTATACATACTTCCTCTACAAAAACAAATTTGGTAGTATTTATGGAAGTTTACTGACTCTTTGTAAGAACAATTTTATTTCTAAGAATTCGTCCCAGAGATACAGTCTGATACATTAAAAACAATGTATCAAAGTACTGTGTCTAGTGGCAAACCAGAAACAACCTAAATACCTAAAAGTATGGCATTAGTTAAGGAAATTACAAAACATTCAGAAAATGGGACAGATACTGGCACTGAACTGAATGTAGAAATTATTTCCTAAAAAGCAAAAATACAGGACATACTCATACTTTTATGTTTGCATACAAGCAAGGATATATATATGGGTGGTGGTGGCATGCACCTTTAATCCCAGCACTGGGGAGGCAGAGGCAGGAGGATCTCTGTGAGTTCAAGACCAACCTGGTAATGAGTTCCAGGACAGCCAGGGATACACAGGGAAACCCTATCTTGAAAAACAAACAAACAACAACACATACACAAGAAAAAAAATGCATGTGTGTGTGTGTGTGTGTGTGTGTGTGTGTGTGTGCATGCGTACACACACATATAACTACACATGCTTATATACACATACATCTCTTGGTGCCTAGATTTTATTGTACAGAGAACAAATATGCTAGTAACAATAATTGCACATGGGTAATAAACTGGTAAATAAGATATTTTGTAACAAAAGTATATATTATCTATTCAATAAACAATTTTATAAATTAACTTTAGAAACTCATTATAAAATTGTAACACTAAAAAATTAAAATTGGGTGTGGTGGCACACACACCTATGATACCAGCCCTCGAGGCAGAGGCAGGCAGATCTGTGTGAGTTTGAGGCTGTCCCGGTCTACATGGTCAGTTCCAGGACATCGAGGGCTATGTAGAGAGACTATGGCCCAAAATAAAATAAAATAAAAAATCTAGCCAGGCATGGTGGCACACACCTTTAATCCCAGCACTTGGGTGGCAGAGACAGGTGGATCTCTGTGAGTTTGAGGCCAGCCTGGTCTACAGAGTGAGTTCCAAGCAAGCCAGAATGACAAAGCGACACTCTGTCCCAAATATAAATAAACTAAATACAATAAAACATTTAGAACTACTCATACATGTACACAAGATGTACTTGTTAATTTAATCTATCAAGAATGTGCCTTATTCTGGTTATTCAGGGGGCAAGTTGCCCTTTTAACATTAATAGGAAATCAAAGCTGAATATGAAGACGTAATATAATACACACCTTCTGAAACACACAAATAGCTAGATGTGGTAAAACAATGCCTATATTCCTAGCACTTGAGATTGGGAAAGCAGAGGCAGACGGATTGTGAGTTCAAGGCCAACCTGGGTTACAGAAAGACACTATCCAGTGGGAGGTGCGGGGGAGAGAGTGGGGGCGGGATAGAAAAAGTAGGAAGAAAGGAAAGGAAGGAGAAAATCATTTCTGTGTTCAAAACGCTTTGTATAAAAGACTATGTTAGGTGTATAATAAACCTCAATACATATCTACTAGATACCTTTCTATTTGATTTTAGTGGCTTTGACTTCTTGATACTTTACAAAAAAAAAAAATTAAAATCACATGAAAACAAAAACAAAAAAGACAATAGAAGTACAACAGTCATTAAATAGTTTTTCTTTCAAGAACTGATTCCTCATTTTCCCACAGAATGAATGAACCAACTGCACTGCAGTTCTGCTCAACGTTTCTTACTAGGCACCCACTATGTGTTAAGGATGCTACAGAGCCAAGTAACACAACGGTGACTTCTCAAGACTCAAAACTGAAACTGCCGCAGGGATTTGTGTGAGGACTTTGGCTTGGTTTTGGTTTGATAATTAACCAGGGGGCTAGTGAGATGTAAAAATGCTTTGAAAATTACAGTAGCTCACTCACATGTAAGAGAGCATTGTTTGATTGACAGAAGGCTTCCTCAGTATGTGTATGCATAGCTGGGCTTGAAGGAATCACTAATAATGAAGTATGAATCATTTTTAATTATTCAGGCTCCTAAAAAGAGAGTTTACTGTAGTGGCCTCAACCTGTTTTGATGGCTCACCTTTCTTATTGAAAACATCTCAGGCATAAACTTTTAATGTATGCATTTATTCATAAATTATATGCATTTTAGTATTAGCTAATCTATACTAAGTACTAATGGGGCACAGTCTATTTTTTTCCAAAGACAGGACTATAAGTTTTAGTATGTTCTTCTTGCATTCCAGCACATCATCTTGTGATGCCCTTGGATACAAACATCTTACTTTGCATAATACTTAGTATGAATACTGAAACTTACAGATCACACAAAGTATTTTATCCAGTTTTCAATTGCTTCACACGTCAAATTTATTTTCAATGTAATAGTTTTAAAGTATTAGATATAAGTCTGAATTTTGCTTTACTTCTCTGTGCCTATGACCTTCTCTCAGAAAAGATGCTAGCATACAAATAAATGATAGCACTACCAAGAAATAAAAGACTGTTTACCCATGAGCTGGTTAATAGCCCTAAACTTTCAAGGGAAAGATTAGTCACTTACAACTATCAGTACTATTTTTTTTTCCTACAGAGCACACTGTTATCCAACACCCAAGACCAGGAACATATTATTTAATAAATGGTCCAATTCTTCAAGATGATTTGCCTCTTGTTACTGTAATTCTATTATAAAGTTTACTCTCAGTTTCCTTGTCTAATCTCATTTTAAAAGTATGTTAAAGAACATTTAAAACTATGTAAGTACTTAAATCTGAATCTACATTTTTCATTGATGTGATTTCACATATATGGATATGTTTAGAGAATGTGTCTACCTAAATAATGTGAAATAAAGGGACAAACATATGTATTTGCAAAGTATGTAGGTTTACTTGGAGGAGGACATACATATAGTTGACCTGAAAAATCCTTTAATAACATCTATCCAATAAAATACAATGTTCATTTTGAGCAATTTTTAATTCAGCAATCAAGTCTTCTACTAAATGTCCATATATTGAAGCAGTAAATATAGAACTATATAAAATTAACTAGCCAATAAACACTATGATTTAATCTACTATAAATAAAAACCTGTTTCCATTTAAATATGTGGGTCAAAGAAATAAAGCCATATTTTATTTGAGCATCATTTTGGTTACACTAATTTTTAACAACTACATTAAGAAATATAAATTCATATATCTGAATATAAAATTATAATGGTCAAAAGTTTAGCATTATTAGTATACATTAAAGTTAAGCTAAATTATTAGTATGTTCAAAGAGCTTTTTAAAAATATCTATATTATTTCGTAGTTTAAGCTTATTAAATTACTTAACTTTTTGTTCATATCCTATGTCCATTGATAAGTCAAATTCCCTAGTAATTATTCAAATCTAAAAGTTAGTTTTGAAGAAGCAATTCTCAATTTCAGTTAAGATGTCAGGACTACATTTGCTCTCTTTTTCCCTCATTACTTTGTGAGAAAATGCATATTTTCCTAAGATACATACCTACTTGATATAAATTAAATATGAACACATGTACAATAGACAAAGTGTGTTTTCATATGTGAAAGAATACTGAATTCAACAACCTGTTTTCAAACTAGGTGGCTGGAGGTCAGAATGTTATTTCTTTTCACAGAGGAAGTCTACACTTTTAACTGTATGTTTCTACAGAGATTATGGGAAAGTGTATTCGGTGACTTGCAAAAAGAACTGTCCCTCTTTAGGCACATACAGGTTAATTTTTTATAGTGAGTAACTCGTTTCAAGCAAAAAATGAAAAAAAAAACGACTTGGATAAACATTAAAAGGTTCCACATCTAGACAGAGACTTTCCCGAAGTAACCGAGATACCAAAAATCACAAAACATTGAAAAGCAAACCTGTGGGCACAAATCTCAGCTACCCTGCAAAGTGACAAGGAATCCCAAAGCCAAGGGAAACTCGGTCTGGACAGTTCCCTGGTGCTGAAGTCACACCGCCTCTCAACCGATGTCTGGCTGCCACTTTCACGCCTCCCACCCGCGGCAAAAACCCCGGGCTGGCAGGACTGTGGGCACACAGCGTAGAACTTCGCGGGCTAGGGAGCGACCCGCACCGCACGGAGGGCGGGCGCCGGCGCCCGCTGGGGATCACCCAGATGGACTAGTTGCAAACAGGGAGGACGGCGGCGGCCGAGGGCAGGGTGTTAGCACCCGCCGCGGGGGAGGGGCTGGAAGATGGCGGCGGCGGCGGCGGCGGCCGCACACCCACCCGAGACGCGGCCGCGCTTAGGCCCCTGGCCCGCGCCGCCGCCGCCGCCTTCCCGCCCGCCGCGGCCGTGGGCAGCGCGCTCCTCCCCCCCCCCCCCGCCGCCGCCCGGGGCCGGGGGCGGGGGACAGAGGCGGCCCTGGCGGGCGCGGGACCAGGGACCCCGGCGGCGCCCGCACCCCGGGTCCGGCCCGGGGAGCACCTGTGCACGGCCATATTGGATTCGGCGCCCCAGCCAGGGCCACCCGCGCGGGGGCGGCGGGGCAGGAGCGGGGAACGCGAGGAGCCGGGCTGCAGCCTCGTCCCCCGGAGCCCCGGCGGCCCGCGGGGAATGGGGGGGACGACGCCGGAGGGCGCCCGCCGCGGCGAAGGACGCCTCCCCGAGCTCGCCGCCGTCACCTCAGCCGGCCTCGGCGCCCTCCCTCCGCGACACACACCCCCGCGGCTCCCACAACTCGAAAGCGACCCCGGCGGCGGCGGTGGCGGTGGCGGCGGTGGCGGCGGCGGTGGCGGCGGCGGGCCGCAGCCCTCGTGGCCCCCCGCGCCGCCGGCGGGAGGGAAGGCGGCGGTCCCCGGCGCGCGGGCGGCCGCGGGGTGAGCGGCCGAGGGGGGCGGAGGGAGGGCAGGGCAGGGCGAGAGGCGGGAAGATGGAGCCCGGTCCTTACTTGAGCACGGACTGCTCCTTCTCCTCTTCTTTCTTCTGGCGATCCATGACGGCCAGGATGATCTTCCTCTCCTCCTCCGTGAGGTGGCTGAGGTCCGGCATCTCGGGCTGCGGAGGAGGCGGAGGAGGCGGCGGCGGCTGCGCGGCCGCCGGGGTGGGAGCCGGGCGGCCCCGGGGCCCGACCGGAGCCGACATGTTTGGTGGAGCCGCACCACCCTAGGGAAGCAGGGAGGCAACTCCACGGGCAGCGGCGGCTCCGGCGCGGGCGGCTGGGGCAGCCTCCGGCGCTGGGACCAAACCATGCAAATCAATGGCCTTCAATCCCAGGCGGCAGCCCCCCTCCCCCAAGAAAGGAAGCAGGGGGAGGGGAGGGCCGAGCTGGGGGGGTCGGGCTGGGGGGGGAGAGGGAGGGCTGAGGAGTGCGCTCGGGGAAATGTTCCTTCTTCCCGGGGGCGAAGGGCTGGCAAGTGAGCGGTCCGCGGGAGCGCGGAGCTGGAGGCCCCGACGCGGAGTGCGCCGAGCGGCGGCGGGGGAGGGCGGTGGAGTAAGGTGGCGGGGACGGCCGAGGGAGGGTGGGGTGACTGGAGGGAGCGGGAGGGCGGGCGGGCGGGCGGCGCGCGGGCCGGGGCGCGAGTGGCCGCCGGTGGCCGAGCGGGAAGCGCCGCCCGCGATGCCCGACCCCCTGGGGAGTCCCGGGAACTCGCCCCGGGGTGCGCCCGGGAGGCGGCGTGGCCCCGGGGCCGCGGCCGGGGGGAGCGCCGGGAGGGGAGTGAGGAAGCGGCGCGGCTGTCTGTCCCGCCGGCCAGGCGGCCGGCCGGAGGGAGGGAGGAAGCCCGCCGGGGAGCGCCAGGCGCGGGCTGCCGCAGGGGACCCCCGCCCCCACCCGGCCCGAGGCGGACGGCCTTCCGGCCCGCGCCCCGCCGCCGCCGCCGCCGCCGCCCGGACCCCAGCGAGCTCGCACTCGCGGCGGGGCTCGGCACGCGCCCGCCCGGGGTCCGCCCGCTCACTGCGCCGCCGCCGCCGCCGCCGCCCGGTGCGGCCGCCTCCGCCCTCCGCCCTCCCTCCGCTCGCAGCCTCTTCCCCGCGGGGCCCGCGTCGCCTCCCGACCGCCCAGGCCGGGACTCGCTCGGCCGGCAGCTGGTCCCCAGCACCCCCCCCCCACCCGGGGCTCACGGCCCGGGAGTGGGGTGGGGACGCGGGGGAGCGCCCCGAGGTGCGGGGCTGTGGATGGAGGGGCCGTGGGGGCGGGGAGCTGCCCGGGTGGCTGGAGCTGTCCCGGGCGGGGTCCTGGAATCCGGGAAGAGCCGAGCAGGTGGGTGTCCCCGCGGGCTCGGGGACCCGGAAGCGGGCAGAGCCGGAGGAGTGACCCCAGGGAGGGTGTGAGAGAATGGGGAGCGCTCGTAGGGTCTCGGGCCGGGACCAGGGCGGGAGGAGTGCGGAAGTTCTGGAAAACTGGGCTGGCCAGCACCGAGAGGCACTGAAGGGAGGACGCTGGAGGCGGAGGGGACGGTCAGGGTTTGCCTGAGGCTTGGGGTGAGGGGGAGACTGGAAGGTGTGCGGGCAAAAGGATCAGATCTGCTCCCCAGAGCATGAGCTGGGACCAAGGGTTCGGCCTCTTTGGCCCTTTCCTGCCGCCGGTAACTCTAGAGAAGCGAGAGGAGAGCCTTAGCCTGATTTTAGAAGCTTGGAGATGAGCTCCGTGAAAGAAGAAAAACGCGCCCCGGGAGCAAGGAGGTGGCCGCCACCGGTGCCGGCTCAAGGAGAAGCCAAGAGCTGCCCAGACCGCTCTCCCTGGGGGCGGAGCGAGCCAGATGGGGGTGATCCGGATCACCCCATCTTCCCCTTCTTGGCGCTCTAGACAAGTGCTTCGGATGGCAAGGTTAGAGTGTGCGTGCGTGCGTGTGTATGTACACACCTCTACCACGCCTTCCACACTCGCACCGCTTAGTACCAGGCCAGATCATGGGCTGGCGAGTAAAGCCTCCGGGGTTTGCATTGTATTTATGTGTAGTAAGCTCTCTCTCCTCCTCCCTTTGTTCCCCAGATACCTAGCAGCTGACTAGTCTCAATTTAAGAGAACTGGGAACAGACAAAGCGGCACTAGATGGCTCTTGTGATTTCTAAGCTGAAATTTCTATGTTGTTTTTCTCCATGCTTTGTAACTGGATAGAAGAAATGGAAAAGTTTGCTTATGTTTTGTTTCGTATTATTATTATTACTGCCGATTGCAACTACCACTCACCTGTTTTCAACCAGATTCATAATCCAAATTATTTTCACTGCTTTGGAGCTGGGCAAAACAGATGAGATATGTATCGCAATTGATTTAAATATCTTATAGTTAAAGAATGTTTAAGCTCATCATAAAGGAAATTGAAGACTGAGATCAGGAGATTTATAAATATGGTAAATAATAATAGAGCTGGAACTAGAATCTAGATAAACTTAGTCCAATGTGGTTTTCAACCTTACCACTTGAAGATGACATGTGTCGCTTTTAAAAACACCTGAGCCCAACCCTGGAGCAAATGAATCAGTTTCTGAAACCCGAGTCGGGGGTATGTTGTGGAAGTACCCAGTACCCCAACTGGCTAATGGCTTGTGAAGGGTGAGAGCTATACAGTCTAAGGTAATGGTGAAGAAAGAACACAAGACTGAGAAGGAAGCAAGCAAAAGGAAAGACTTGAGAAGAACGTTGAATCGCTGACCTAAAATTCCTGTGTTAAATTTGCTGTGCACACACTCCTTTGCTGCCATGCAGTGACAGGGTCCCAGTCAGTTGGTATGCATACTTACAGCTTTAACCTAGGAAACACCAGCCACCAATGCCACGGTACATTCTCCTTTAAACGTGACGATAGCACTATAAATAATAATGTTCCACCTTATTTCTGATTCCGTTTTTAAAAATACCATCCTCTAAACCCTAGGCAGCATCATCGCAACAGGATCAGAAACCAGAATGTGCACACACTGCTGAGTCTGAAGATTCTGAGGTTAAAATAACTTAGTTACTTCAAATACATAAAATGTGGACTTGAAAGCAGTCAGACTGGAAAAAAATGTGGGTTGCTTTACAGCAGAGGGTCACCTTCTGGGACCTACATTATTTTCTGCAAGTCGTATAGCTTCCTGAGGTCTGTGTCCGCTACCCCCCCCCCCACCCCCGCCCACCACTGCCTCACCTCCCTGGATGAGCCAATACCAGCACTTAACACATAGTAGGCATGAACCTGAATCTCTGCCACAGCCCGCATCCTCCAAGAATGTGAGTGGGCTGCCTGGGATTTGCTGTTTGGGCGGTTTGTTGTTGCTGTTATGCTTTTTTGTTGTGTTGTCTTTTACTTACTACAACTGAATTTTTTTTTAGAAGTGGAAGTACATACAATTCATCTGTCATTAATCATGTACCTTTACAAAGTAAAAATTTGTCGTAATTTTTGTATCACACAGATAGACTATATATATGCATATATATCATATAGAACTTTAAAATGATCTGTAACCTAGGTGATGTACTTTAAAAATACCCAATTTAAGATAGGATTGCTATGCTTGTAATAAAGTATCCTTACAAGGCTTTGGTTTTCCAAAATATGGATCTTAGAAATAATTTGTTTTGTTCAGGTTTTGTGTTACTTGAAATGTTAGTCATTTCTTACTATGTCATGTATGGACATGTCCCTCGGTAGGTGAACACATGTGTAATAGACTCAAAATACAATGTTCTTGCTTAACTTGAGAAGGAATTGCCCTTTATTACTGAATTTGGGTTCTTGTAAGCTTATGACCCCTGTGAACTTTCCTTTTGCATAATTATAAGGACTATTTATAAGCTATAGGTAAGTATTAGGAGGTATACCTGAAGTATAAAGCTATAAAATAACCACATTCTTTAAATGTATCGAGGCCTTTGTATTGTGCTACAGAATCTGGATACTTACAAGACAATCATCTGTACTCTCCGCTGCATCCAGTTTGTCCTAACAGGTAGAGAGAGCTGCTTCTGTCCTTGAAGTTCTGCATGGTGAGCAAGCACCCTGGGCTGTGTATGTGGCCTGGTGGGGGGCACTTGGCTGTGTTCTGGTTGGTTTTCATCAACTAGACACAAACCAGAGTCACCCAAGAAGTAGAGAAGCTCAGCTGAGGACTCGGTTCCATCAGATTAGACTAGTGGGGGGCATTTTCTTGATCTGTGATTGATGTAGGAGGACCCAGCACATGGACAATGCTAGCCCTGGGCAGGTAGTCCTGGGATTCATAAGAAAGCAAGCAGAGGAAACCAATAAACAGCATTACTCCATGATAACTGCTTCCATGAGTTCCTGCCTTGGCCTCTCCGATGATTGACTATAACCTGTAACCCATAAGCCAAATAAACCCTTTTTTCCAAAAGTTACTTTTGGTCAGTTACTTTTTATCACAGTAACAGAGACACAAAGTAAAACAGAATTGGTACCGGAAGTGGGTTTGTGGTGTTGAAGAAGCATAAGCTTGGGCATTTGAAGGCTTGGTCCTCAGTTGGTGGAGGCTTAGTTATGTGCAGCCTTGACAGATGAAGTATGTCACTAGGCGCAGCTTTGAGGCTGTAGTCTCATCCTAACTTCAGTTCGCTTGCTCACTGCCTGACCCACCCCTTTGTGTATTCTGTAAAAGATGTAATCTCAGCTTCCGCTCCTGAAACCATGCCTGCTGCTCCGCATTGTATTTCCACGTTATTATTGACTGCTAGCTCTCTCTACAACCATAAGCCCAAATAAACTCACTCTTAAGCTGCCTTGGTAATGGTGTTTTATCACAGCAACAGAAAAGTAAAACAGCCCGAATGTGTGAGGCCCTGGATTGAATCCCCAGTAGCACATGGGCAGAAAATGAGCAAGCATCCTAAAACCACTCAACCCCATACAGGTCAAAATACTGAGATGACTCCCTGCTCTGTTCAGTACCAGTTGAACTTATCCGGTCTGCAAGTTCCATTTGAACCCTAACCTCATCACCTAGTTAGTACTACCATACTTCACTTGAACTAGTCCTTCCTTTCACTGTTATAGTTACTTAGCTAACTCCCTTTTCAGAGTTTTGCTCATTCTTCCCTTCTACTTAATATTCCATCCTATCTTTCAGACCCTCACCCCCATCACTCCAACCTCCTCCTGTACTTTGTTTCCCTATAACAACTGTATTTTCACTACAAATTGAAGGATTTTTACTGCAGTTTATTGTTTAGCATTGGTACTTCCACCTGCTGAACTATAAGCACTTGAACAGCAGGAATTTTATTAATGTATCCCAAGCACCTAGAATAATACATGCCTCAGCGAGTATTTGGTTAATTGCTTTCCAATGTGAAGATCATTATTACTGGCTTAAGCTGGACAGAAGAATGGGGAAAGGCATTCT